TATAAATATATATATATATATATATATTTTTTTTTTTTTTGCAAGATATGTAAGATAAGACTTACCTAATCATTTGAAAATGTAAAGTTTCCAAAAATATATTTACATTCAATACATTTGTTTACATTTAGTACAATTATTATAGATACCTTCATTTATTTAAAATTCTTTATTATATATTTCAAAATTATATTTAATAACATAAAAATAATAAAATATTTAAAATTATTTCATAATGAAAATATTAACTTATAAGTGTAGATTTAACTACATTTTAAGGGATAGTTCACCCTCATTCTGTCATCATTTACTTTAAGGAACATAATAGTTTATATTATAAGAAAATCTGTAGTTTTTGTCCATACTATAGAAGTCAATGGTAACCAAAACGGTTTGGTTTTAAAACACTTATATACATCTTGAATATATTTTGCTTTTAAATATCTTATTCTATGTTATGCAGAAGAAAGAAAGTCATACAGGTTTGAAAAACATGAGTAACTTATGACAGAAATAATTTATGACAAATGTATTGTTTGCTCTTTATCTTGATTATTTATGCAATAATATATTGGCATATAATAATGTTTCACCTTTTAACAGTTAATGTAGACTCACTCTTGAGAATACTGCATTACCCTATATTGAAAAAAAAAGCCAGTCTTGATCCAACCAAATAATAACTGTTTTACTTGCAAGCAGTTATAACTATAGTAATAAATGCGTCAAGGTCAAGATCCCCTAATGAAAGTGGTGAAGTGCAAGGGCAAAGAACCAAGCACTGAATATAAACACTTCTTGACCCCAAAGTCACACTAGCAACGAAAGCAGTTCATATGATCCTTTGATAAAAAATCTTTAAAAAACACATTTATATAAGTACCTTCGCTCTATTTAGGAGACAAATGTACAGTATGTGTTTACAGTGTTTCTCAGCCGTGAGCTCAGATTGCACTGACAGCCTTAGGTCTTTATGTTTGTAATTTAAATGCTAATGAAAGCTCTTGTCGGCACAAGCCAATGGGATTTATATACCCACAGCTGTTGAACCCATTGAGGGCAGGAGAGGTAGCTACAGGCTGTAGGCCGTCCACTTCCACCGCTCCCCTCGCGGTGGGGAAACACATACGGTCATCTGAGCTCCGGCAGTAAGCCACATGAGCCAGGGCTCAGAGAATACACTCAAAATGAACACTATGAAGTAATCAGACGTCCCTTCACTTTCATCTGTCCCCCACACATGCAGGTCCAACAGTGCACAGACACTCACCCATGATCTCCCGGACGGTGACGGGCTGTGCCAGAGCGACGGGCTCGCTGCGGCCTCCGGCATTCACCGCCACCACACGAATGTTAAGTAGGTCTCCGGCTGTCAGGCCGCTGATGACAAACCGGTTGGACGTGATGAGCTCTTTATTGGCAAGCACCCATTCAGAAGCTGTATAGTGTAAAAATGGACAGATGACGAGAACCTATGAGTTTTAAATCCTCCTAGAGATCTGAACAAAAGTACACTCATAAATATAAATATATTTATAAGTACATATAACTGGTTATAGACTGACCGGCCCCATACAAAAATGAAATCATATATATATATTTTCCCTATTTTAAGAGTGATATTGCAGTATATGTTACCTATAATTTTCACATATGTACATTCTCTGGGTAGCTAAAGATCATAAAATCACCATAGTAAAATATGTATTTGTACATATGCATATGAGTTTTTATATGGTAGCAACCATATTTCAACATTTATATATACAACTTTAAAAAAAATGCAAATTAAAACAACATTTATACAAAAATATCTGTATGTTTATATATGTTTTGGTTATCCATTTTTAAACACATGTCTATCATTTATATTGATTATATAATATCAATGTTTATTGACAGGATTTAGGACGGATATACATGTACATGACATGTATCTCAAAAATGTATTATATGTATAAACATATATTTGTATGGGTTAGATATATGTGCTATTTGAAATTGTTCCAATTTTTAATAGGTTTAATATATGTTTTTACTTCATATGACGATATATTTCATATATGGAAATTTAATATATGTATATAATAGTAAAAAATAATAAACTTTTGACAACATAAACATATATATAATATTATAATGTTCATAGAACTTAATATAGCTAGGTAATAAAGGGTAGATTTAACTGCAGTTTGACATGAACTATTATTGGAATATGCTATATTCCATGTACAATTAAAAAAATATTTTAAGCAAGGCTTTTAATAGTTTTATCAAAATAATTATTTTATTTTATTATTTTTTATTTTTGCACTTAAAAAAAACTGTCACCACAGAAACATATCAAATCAACTAGTAAAGGCAAAAAGGTGATTATAAATTATGCATTACAGTACTTTGATAATACATTATATATTCCTAAAAATTTGAAACCTAAAATCTTGTTGTTTATAGCAAAAGCGTGTGGATGTTATGCGTCAACTACTCAGTTAAACATCAAATATGAATTTTCCAACACACTAGTGGTGATGTCAGTATACATCCACAAATCTAAATGTGGGGTGTGCAGATACGGTGACAGTTGGTTGAAAGCATCCATTCCTAATAGGGAGACCTGGAGGAGCTAGCTATAAATCAGTCTGTGGTGACATCTCAAAGACAGGTGCTATAACAGACTGTCATATAACCCACTTTTCTGATGACATCTGATAGTTCAACATGGTTCAATTTCTAGAAGAAGGCACGATGATTGAAACACTATCCCTCAGCCTAAAGAGCTTATCAGCAATACTGAGAGAATATACGCACATCCTTCCTTGCAGTATTCCACGGTATATCCATCCAGCCCAGAACCAATATTCTCCGGGGATCTCCACTTAAGAGTGACTGAGGTTTCATTGACATCATCCACACTGAGGTTCTGAGGGGCACTTGTGGACACTGCACATTCATTAGAGACATATATACAATGAACTCATAGCAGAAAAACACATGCATTTCTTTAGTATTGAAAATATCAAAAGAAGGATATGATGGATTTATTGATTGGGTAGATGGATGGATTGATAGAGCAGATGAATGGATGAATAGGTGGGGTGGATTGGGAGGATTTGGTGGATGGGTGTGTGGATGAATGGGTGATTGGGTGGATTTGTGGATGGATGGGTTGTTTGGGCTGATGGATGGATGAATGGGTGGGTAGATTGGGTAGATGGATGGATGATTGGGCAGATTCGATGGATGTATGGATGGATAGAGTGATTGATTTATTGTTTGGGTAGGTGGATGGATTGATAGGACAGATGAATGGATGAATAGGTGGGGTCAATTTTGTTGATGGATTGATTGGGCAAATGGATGGATGGGTGAGATTGGGTGGATGGATGGGGATGGACGGATGATTGGGTAGATTCATGGATGGGTGAACTGATTGGGTGGATGGATGGATGAATAGGTGGGGTCAATTTTATGGATGATTGAGCAGATGGATTGATTGGGCTAATGGAGGGATGGGTAGGTGAGATTGGGTGGATGGATGGGGATGGATGATTGGGTGGATTCGTGGATAGGTGTATTGATTGGGTGGATGGATGAATAGGTGGGGTTCATTTTGTAGATGGATTGATTGGACGAATGGATGGATGGGTAGATGAGATTGGGTTGATGGATGGGGATGGATGGTTTGGGTGGATTTGTGCATGGAATAGACGGATGATTGAGAGAATTCGTGGATAGGTGGATTGATTAGGTGGATGGATGGGTAAGTAAGGTTGGGTGGATGGATGGATTGATTGGGTGGATTCATGGATGGATAGATGAATGGGTGGATTGATTGGGCAGATGGATAGATGAATGGGTGGATAGATTGGGTGGGTGGGTGGATGGATGGATGAATGGGTAGATTTGGTGGATGATTGATTGACTGAGGGGATGGATGTATTGGGTGGATGATTGATTGATTGATTGGGTGGGTGTGGGGATTTATGGGTGGAAGGCTGAATAGGATGGAGGGATGGATGGATGGATGCTTGGGTGGGTGGTTGAATGGACGGATTTGGTGGATGGATGGTTTACCTGCTGCAGGAGTTGCTGTTGGTGCTTTAGGTGGCTCTTCTACAGGTGCAGCTTCAGCAGGAGCAGCTGATGAACAAATATGCAAGAATATTAGGATTCAGAGTTTGATTCATTCACATGCACCAACGATTTTAATGCTATATGTCAATAAAATAAAAACAACACAATCAAAGCATTTGAGAATGAACTTTATGAATTTTCTTTTTCTGAAGGGTGTATCTCACATTATAAAGCATCTGGATCCAAACTGAAATGGAATAATTAAAACTCATGACCAAACCAAAATGATTTACCCTCAGCTGGAGCATCAGTGGAGGGAGCAGCTTCCTCAGCAGGGCCTGATAGCAAATCATTAGACTTCCATTAGCGCAGTGCCACTCTGGAGATATCGCTAGATTAGTACTGTTTAGAATAAGCGTTTTTTTATTTTTTTAGTAATAGTAGTTTATGGAGCAACAGCTGCAGGAATAGCACCTTCTTCCACAGCACAAACTTCAGCAGATATATATATATATATATATATATATACTTACTTACCTTAACCTAACATAACCTCCCCCTCATGCAGTGGTCACACTGGTTTCCTTGGCAGCAACTAAAGACGTTAATGAAAAGTCAGGTGAAAAGACATGCCATTTCATTTCAGCATGCAGTGAGACATGCTCATCAACCACAGCCTGTTCTAGTATTGGCTGACAGCACACATTGTTGGTGATCAGTGGTTTTTGCACTCAGCAGGCCACCAGTTTACTGAAGAAGCAACATTTGCTCCGATAGATGACTGCTGGATGAATCAGTCTTTGTAAAATGATGAAATCTGAACAATGTTAAGGTGTCAAAATTGGCAAAGAGATCAAACAGAATGCAGAAGGAGAGAGGAGTTCGTTTTGATCTTGAGATGTGGGTTAATGTAAAATTTAATATGATTTACATATTGTACAAGTGAGATGATAAAATTATATTTGTACTTTTATGCAAAACCTAAATCATTTCAACAGGGTAATAGTCATTCATATAGTCTATGCTGAGGTTTCGTCTTAAGGGGCAGCAGTTTAACCCCGAGCAGCAGGGGCAGAGGCTAGTGTTACATGTTAAATAAATGTTAGAAGATGTTAGGTACATGTTAGAGGAAGGTATAAATTACAATGCTGCTGTAAGACAAGGCTCAAGGATCAAATCACAGGTGCTTCCTGTTTAATTCATTTGCTTCTGAGGAAACTCTGGGCTTAGACTCATATCAGGGAAACTTCAACACACATCTATAATAATTAGTATATTTAGTTTTGTGACAGTTCAGGCTATCTATTATAAGTAATTATTGTAATGCCGACACCCAAGTTATCTTTTTACAAGAACTTATCTTCTAGCATTATGTGGATGTTTAGAAAATTCAGTTTTCCTAAATAAAAAGAAAAAATAAAATAAAAAAACTGCACAAAAAGGACATATTTGAATCATATAGCCTTAGTCTCTGCCAAAAATGATAGATTTAATACTGTATATGCTACTATAATAAAACTTTAGTATTTTGATATACTATTAGACACTAGTAAGTAAGTAAATTCATAAATATATTCTACCACTAGCTACCAGGAAGAAAAATCAACATTTATTTTATAGAATTTTATTCATTATATATTATTCATTACCATTTTGCAGCAGCTAAACATATATAGACACACACACACACACAAAATAAAATCTAAAAATAAAAACTGATTGTTGAATGAGAATAAAACTTTAATAGAAGGCCTCAATAAACAGCATTGGTAAATAACACTCTAAAATAACTAGTAACGTTGGTGTTTTGGCAGATTACCATGGCAAATGATAGCTAAAAGTGGAAGAAGCGCATGTTGTTCATTAGAGGGCGTGTGTGAGTCCTCGACAGAACTGATGATACTTTTATTCTTTTATTAAAATAACAACTGATAGACGTCCATGAACAAAATCATTTTTGCCCGTTAAGGTGAGTAGAAATTTTACAGTTTACATTAAAGTGCGACGAATAGTTCTTTTAAATGAGATGTTGTTAGGGTTAGGCACACTTTGAGGTATGTGCTGTTTAAATAAAGAGCAGCGTTCAGATGCGTGGAGTACCTTCGGGAGCAGGTGCCTCGGCAGCGGGAGCGGTTTCCGCCACGGCCGCTTCAGCAGGAGCTTCTATCGGCGCCGCTTCAGCGGGAGCAGCCTCGGGCACCGGCTCTGCTGGCTTCTCCTCTTTCGGAGCAGCCTTCTTGGCTGACTTTTTGATAGGTGCTGGTTTGGCTGGCATGATGCTTGGGAAAACCTCAACAGGGCGGCCGGTCTTTGAAATGACAATGCCTTTTGGGACGTTCAATTTATACCGCCTCTGAGTATGGACCTTCGGGACTCCTCCTCTTCTTTAAATAGCCTTCATAAATCTGTTCTTTCTTATCAACTCAGGAATAACCCTAAACGGGTCTCACCTCATTACTCAAACTATTGCTTAACTCAGTATCATGTAGCTTATTTCGTGCCTAAATATTTCTGACTTAACTTTTCTCATTTTTAATATCACTTCTTAATGTCTTGCATTTAATCCAAGTTTTTTATTTTATTTTTTTATTTGGCGCCCTCTTTTGTCTAAAATTGCAAATGCACAGTGCTGTCTATACTGCAGTTACAAAATTCAGGCAGTAGAGGGAGACAAACCTCAAAAATAATTTTATAATAGGAATACATGAGTTGAGAGTTTAGTGATAAAAAAATACAAACAGCTGTCATGTTTTGTATGTTGGTTCAAGGTTGGCATCATCTGAGGTCTTCTGGGTGGTTGGCATCATCTCTTTTTAGGTGTTCGGTCATCTCAGATCTTTGTAAGGGTTGGATCCAGACTGAAGCTTGTGTAATTCCTAGTTTTCCTAAAAAAAAAAAAAAAACAACTGCACAGAAAGGACATATTTTAATCACATAGCCTTAGTCTCTGCCAAAAATGATAGATTTAATACTGTATATGCTACTATAATAAAACGTCAGTATTTTGATATACTAATACTATTAGACAAGTAAGTAAATTAATAATTTATTGATTATCTGTCATGTTTTATTACATTTATGTAATAATTGCCAAATAGCATTTTTTTTTTTTACTTTAATAAATGCACAAAACCAGTGTAGGGATGGCACAAGTTTATTGGAAACGTGAGTGAATATTTGATGGAAGAAATTCTCTCAGATCAGCACATGCCTTTATAACCCCTTTCCAGCAGACAGTTTAAAAAATAATAATAAAAACCAACAATAACAAAAGGTGTCTCATCATAGGGCCGGATCTTCTCATATTTTACTGTGATTGTGGTCGCAGATGAGTTTTCTATTTACAATGTTTACAATTGCAATGTTCTATACAAAATAGAAAGATTTCTTAAAGAAAGCACGAAAAAAAAAGAGGAAGAAGAAGAGAGAGAAAAAAAAAACAGTTTTTGTTCAAAATCCCAGTGGGACAGGTAGGTCCAATGTGTTTTTCCCAGACAAACAATGGTGATACACATCAACATTAAAACACCATCAAACCTGCACATTAGCTTACCATTGTTATCTGTCATTGGTACTAACAACTCAACTCTACAATGTTATTCCAACGCTGCATAGTGACAAATCAATCTGTTTTGATAAACAATATTGAACCCGTTTAATCTAAAACAGGTGGGAAAAAACCCAAGTTTACAAAGCACAGGTTTTGTATTATTACTTACAATTGCAATGTTCTATACAAAATAGAAAGATTTCTTAAAGAAAGCACGAAAAAAAAAGAGGAAGAAGAAGAGAAAGAAAAAAAAAAACAGTTTTTGTTCAAAATCCCAGTGGGACAGGTAGGTCCAATATGTTTTTCCCAGACAAACAATGGTGATACACATCAACATTAAAACACCATCAAACCTGCACATTAGCTTACCATTGTTATCTGTCATTGGTACTAACAACTCAACTCTACAATGTTATTCCAACGTTGCATAGTGACAAATCAATCTGTTTTGATAAACAATATTGAACCCGTTTAATCTAAAACAGGTGGGAAAAAACCCAAGTTTACAAAGCACAGGTTTTGTATTATTATTGTGCCTGCTTGAACATTCAGCGTTGTTAGTCGTAAAATAATTAATAAATTAATCGAAACTTAGATAGACACTCCATTTTAGGTTGTCCAGACTGTATCAGTTCATATGCAAGACAGCAGATATGATAAAGCACACTGTACTACGATGGCAAATGTATCTGTGAGACGAGAAGAGACGGTGGGAAATGGCTTTAGTTTGTGCTAGCTGGCAAAGCAGCCTCAAATTTCCAGGACATCTGGAAACGAGACTACCGGCGAGCTCAAATCTCAATGTTATTTATAAGCTAGCATAAAAAAGGATAACACGTTCGCTCGCATTCTTATCCTCCACAGCAAACAATCCCTTGCAAAACATAATAGTTTAGGTATTGCAATGTCCAACGAGTTGGCTTATATTAGGCACATTTTCATGACAAACACCTTTACCTTGAATCTTCCCCAAAGCCCCAAACTATCCTTAAGCGATTAAGGGAAGTTTATGATCATACGATGAGCTGTTAAGACAGATTTTGGGGTACTTGTGTGATTTGAAGCACCGCTGCCACTTATTTTTTTACTGTTTTTTTATGGGTTGTTATGGCCAACTCAATCGTAAAAGCCATTCAATACCTTGTACGATCCGGAAGAGAATACAGAGGACACTTTTATAGTGAAACATGTACATAGGCAACATGATCTAGTTACTTTGTGGCAGTTAACTTGCCTCTACTGGAAAGGTGATAACTGAGAGATGACCGCGATCCTCGCTGTAATGTATATCTAAACAGACACATTCAGTTTATACAGTAGTCGTTATACTTTATCCTTGCTCTGTTTGTTCTACCATAGACCTTTTTTGTTTGCATTTTTTTTGGCAATTTTTTTTTGAAAATCTATTTACAAATGTCAGACTCAGATCCGTTAGTAAAAAAAAAAAACAGAGAAAAAAGACCTTAAAAAAATGCTCCTCTGGTTATTCATTTGGAGAGCTACGTCTGACAGTAACAGGACACGTAAACACGAGCACAAGAGTCAGCAAGCATCATCTAGAGCACTAGGTGTGTTGGCAAACTGAAGTTTTGATCCAGTTTACATTCTCAGATTACGTTTCATCTGACATTGCTATAGCGCTAGTACTAACCGGTTAGTACATGTACAAGAGAAATTCAGTTTCAATTTGGTAATTTATGAAAAAGATCTCTTTGCTCTTGTAGACTGGTTGCCAACACATCCTTTGGCGTCTCATAATAAGGTGCCTTTTTTAGCTATAATTTTCCTCAGTTAAAGCTTTCATGCACATACAGTTCTGGAGCACCTGTAATCATCCAATAGCAAACGCATTAATGAGTTACAATCCACCATTGATATTTTTTAGGCTGTGTTGAATTGCAAGATATTCTGTCATTATTGCAATTGTTACTGGAATGATTTGAGAGTTTGTAAAAGACCCTGATATGGGGTCATCCTGTGACTTAAAATGACCAGAAATAATAATAAAAAAAACTATTAAGCATTTACAAAACTGGCTACATTGTTACAGAAGACCAAAAGACATAAGTGTGTGTAAAACCATGAGCTAACACTGATGTGATTTAGCTTTGAAACTCTAGACATAACAAAGGCCAAACATAAATTGCTAAACCTCCTCCAGACATAACAAATTGTTTAAACCATTTTGGCTTTGTTCACACTGCAAACAATCCTGATTTGTTTCCAAAACCAATCTAACTACATCTTATTTTGCAGGAGCTCAAATTGGCTTCATTTGTTCAGGCAGTGGAACCAATATCCAGTATATTTACAGCCCTGTTTCCACCTTGTATTAATATGCATTTTTGATGATCCGATCACAAGTGTTAGGCACTAAATGCAGGTGTAAACATGGTCTAAAACTGTGATCGGATCACTGAAACCACATACAGAGGTAGTCAAAAATGCATGTGACCACATCACATTAATAATATGAATCCTCATTTGTCCTGGATGTGCTCCGAACTGAAGTTAAACATCACCTTCTTGCCACCTGCTCAACTAACACTTGATTGTTCTGGGACGTGTTGAGAGAAAGTGCACCAAAATAAGTAATGCAAACTTCGTGGTGTTGGCAGCTGCAATCTGTATCTTTTTCATTTGCTTACATTCCTGCTCGCTCATAAGCTGCACAACATGGTTTCCTTCATTTAATAGTTTTTGTGTGCCGCACTTGGGACTCTTGCAAAAAAATGTTGAGTATCCCAAAATAAAAGGGGAGTTTCTCAACAAAACCCAAAAACAAGAGATCACAAGAGATGCATTTGAAACACGTTAATGCCAGGTGGAAACAGGGCCTACATTAGTTGCTACATCAGCACAAAGTTAAGTGAATTTGGTTTGGGGTGTCTGTGAGAACAAAGCCTTTGATTATCTTGATGATCAATGAACACCTTGGGTACTGGATCTAAAGTTGAAAGTATACTTCACTTGTCCATGTTTCGCTCTGGCTCGCACAGTCCATGTTAAGCAATTCTTGTCTGTGCACAACATTCGTGTGCAGCCCGTTTTTTTGTGTCTGCATGCCATGGACTTGTGCATGGACAACAGCGATTGCGCAAGAGATTTGAGTGCTTGAAGGCTTACTAGAACATGCTCACGGTCACAACGCTCAAGTTTACTGTGAAGGGCTTGAATGCTCAATGGTGTGGAAACATGGAAAATGAAGTATATCTGTACCTTAAGGTCAAAAGCACTATCACATAAACAATTACTGAAAGTAATATGTTGCATACTGTTCCCATGCACCGGTAACAGCACCTTTGTTATAACTGACAGCTATTTATTTGCCTGAGGTCGCCCTCCGACTGTATCAGGCAGTGGATCACATGAACCCTACTGCAGTCATTCCCAGCTTTGCTGCATTTCCAAGTGCCACCGTAATCCAGCAACTTTTTTCAACAATATCAGGCGGCAGATCACATGACGTTTGCATATAATTGAACTTGATGAGTCTCTATCACTCATGTCGCCTCAAACTCTCACAAATTTTGGTTGTTTTGTTGCTACAACTCACCATTGGAGCGAACAACATACGAATCTTGAACAACCAGTCAGTGCTCTTGATTGAAAGCTACGAATCAAAGTGCATCCTCTACAGTCTACATCCTTCTGATGTCTGCATGTTTGATAGGAATGAATGCAACCTGGCTATGGGTATGTACTGCACCTTAAAACTGCATCACTATGCAAACTGTGAGGTAATATAGAGTAATATTCTGATTGCTATGGAACTGACTTTATGATATATGGAGGGACATCATTTAAGGCTGAATTCTAAGCACCATCTTGTACATTACATTTTGCATCCATGCGAGTTGGTCTAAATGTAACTGCACCTTTGTGTACAGGGTTCAGGCGACTTGATCTTGAGGATGGAGTGTTGGTACTTTTGCAAACAAGAATAAATAGATTTTTGGTCCATATGGTCAAAAGTAATATCAAACAACTGTGGAGCACATTTTGTTCCCAGTATGGTAGATAAGAACATTTCATCTTCACAATCGTCCAATCTTCACAATCCCCAGTTGCAAGTATTGCCATGCCACTTGCAGGTTAAATAAGCAAAGGAAGGACCGGTTAAGACAACAGTGCAAAAAAGATTCTCGCATAGATCTGGCAGGATCAGTTCTTCTGTTTTTCTTTCAGACTTAAGAGTTTTGTCTGCCTTGACATGGTTGTTCTTGAGAGTTTCTCTTCTCGACTCTCACAAGTCTTTTGAAGGAGACAGGAGGTGCAAATCAGCTGTACAGAACAGTGTTTTGTAACAGCACTAGCCATTAGTAAGCTCTCGAGTCTTTTAGCTCAGCCTAGAAAGTGGGGTTGCCAGAAATGTCCCGTTCGGGTGATTCGATGTAGTTGGCAGACTCCTGGAGTTTCAGCAGCATCGCCATCTGAATGAGGAACAGAACAAGGACAGCTTGTCACAACACATGCAGATTTGTTCACAAAGGTTCAGGTGTAGTTGTACTAGACACTCACCAGTGGATCGGACTCCATTGTGGACAGAGACGTGTCCTTGTTGGACGTGACCCTGTCGTCACTGGGCTGCTGTGTTAGAGCAGAATTGGGGCCAGTGGTTGGCGGAGGGAGGTGAAAGAGTTTGGCCTGGTCCTGTTGAGCTGAAGGCCAGGGCAGCGTATCCCTCACCCACTCCACTGGATCCTCCCATGCTGATTTCTGACCATGGACCTGAAATATATCAATGCAGAGATTGAGCTTCAAGGCTCCACTGCACTTCGAGAAGACACAATAAGTGTCATATGATCCAACAAAACGCAACTCTTTTAGTAACAGATGAACTCTGTTCTAAAACCTAGTGAGTTGCCTCATTTTGGCCAAGATGTAAAAGCCACGACATACCAAGCCGACTTCAAAGAACTAATGGCAATTAAAGTCGACGTTGTTGTCACTTCGCATCAGCTGTGTCTGGACCAAAAAGCTATGCTTCAACACACCGCACAGACTACACCTGCATGTAAGGAGTTAACGGTCTATACACTGTGCACTGACTCCTTCGTTAAAGTGAACATCCAATCAGAGTTCTCAAACTCACTGATGGCCATGGCGCCGATTCAACATGTTGAATTGGGCAAAATTCCACTGATGTGAGCCTGATGAGAGCCGACGTGTGGAATACACCAAAAAAACTAGCCCCATAGATGCTCGCCAGTGGCCTTACGTTGGCTGATGGCCAGCTTGTTGTGTCCTGGCCTTAAGACAGAATAAACTCTGAAACCAGCCTAAAATGTTTTACTGGTGTCACAGAACCCCTGTAATAACAAAAAACACACAAGCCTGACCAGGCTAAGCACACAAGTGCTTGACCTACAAACTAGCTTAAACAGTATTTTTCACCAAGGATACAAGCTCAGTAAAGGAAGACAGAGAAAACTTAGAAAACCAAGATGTAGATGGATAAACAAGGTTAATTAGAAATCATTACCAAAAAGCATAGAGTTGTTAGCTTAGAAGCTGTTGAAATCAATTGGGAGTGTAAGTTGAGTCTCTTGCACTTTCTGTATGGTGCACAAGAGTAACCATCAAGAGAGTTGCTCCCTATGAAGTGTGTTTCAATTTGGTCACTTATGAGGAGGACCCTCTTCAGTGTTAATTTCGTCAACGAAGACGACGACGAAAAATATTCGTTAACGAACATTTTTTCTGTGACTAAGACGAGACGTTGACGAGCTAAAACTAATATCTGATGATAAAAACTATGACGAAATTAATGCCGCGTCTTCCTTAACAAGACGAGACTATAATGTTATTTGAGGACTACCGGACATTCAAAATACATCCTATAGGCTACTGTCTTGTCCTTCAAAATGTCATTGGATTGAAATCTTATAAGGGGCGTTTGCATATCTAAAAAAAAAAAAGTGACGTGACATGTGGCCAAGTATGGTGACCTATACTCGGAATTAGTGCTCTGCATTTATCCCACCCAAAGTGCACTAGAAAATATCTAGTCTGAGTATGGCAGCCGCAGTGGACGGATAGGCTACCAAAATGCGAACTAGCGATCTGAAACAATGGCCTCAGCACCCGAAACACTGACCATTTTACTGCATAATCTAGCTCCAAAACACCTACAGTTTCTAGTAATCCAGAAGAGCTTGAAGTGTTTAGTTAGTGTTGGAGTTGAACTCTGCTGGATGGTGGCCATCCATGAGCAGGGTTAGACATCCCTGCTTCTGTTGTCAGATGCCTATGAGCAGCTTACCTTCACACCATCCTTAGCTCCCTCCTGAAGATAAGGAATAATGGACTGGTTCCAGAGATCAATAAACCAGGAGCGAAACTCTGCTAATGATACTGGGCAAGACAAGAAGAAGCAGGGACCTGCAAAGAGAGGAGCCGAAACTTAAGTTGCTGTAGGATATAACCTAACCTTTGAAAGGTTGCTCGGATTAATTAGCTAATATAAATGGTTAAATATGTTTTTCTTTTTTTTCTGAAGAGCACTGTGTAAAACAGACATTCAGAAAGCTGTACCTATGAGGAAGTCAGAGGTGCTGTGTTTCTCCAGGAAGGTATGGAGATGGTACCAGAGTTTAGGCACCCAGTCCAGAACCCTCAGCACCTCAGCGCTGTGAACTGTGCCTTCATCCTCCGTTTCGATCAACTTCCTGTGCAAGTAACGCACTAGGAAACCATTTGCAGGCTCCACGTTGTTGGAGAAGGTGACCATTCTTCAGGCAAACAGATAATTACAAATGGTTAGAATACTGATATGGGATTTCAAATTTTTTTTTGCAGATTTTATGTTGTCTTACCAGAATCTACAAACTTGAATGAAACAGTGCTAAAGGAATGAGGAACTTACCTGAAGCTGAGATGCAGGCCATGATTGGATGGCATCTTAACAGACTGATTGGTGGTTCCAATGACGTAAGGACTAAAACAAATAACCAAGGTATAAAATATAATATCCAAGAAAAATACTTCCCAAGAAAATGTAATTTTGAAAATGAATGAAAAAAAAAAAAAAACTCTTGTAAAAGAGTGAATCTCACACAGTTTGTCAATAAATTCTTCCAGGTCATTTTCCATTAAATTATATTTTAAATTATATTTTGCAAAAATAAAATTAGAATTTTTTGTATCATTAAGAATTTCTGCAATGTAACATTAATTAAATGACATTTAAAAATATTTTCCACCACATTCTCATTATTGTAATGCAAAAATAATTTATTATTTTTATTAAGTATTTATAAAGTTATGTTAGCATTTGTTATACTGCCTCTAATTTATGCAGGTTTCAATTTAAATATGATTTGTATTATGCACTAATGTTTCACATTACAGTAATGAGACTTTGGGCAGAAATTGTCTTAATTGCCACAAAAAAAGTAAAATTGCTTAATTTTCCCTACATATTATTTTACCTTAAAATATGATTGTGACATTTTTTAAGAGATACAACATACAATACAATATCGCGTCCTTAACATAGGAGCTTCCTCACCATTTGTGATATTTGCAGGTCAGTGCACTGTTGACCAGGTCAGTGATGGAAGACGCGTCACTGATATCGTCCAAGATAATGACCAATGGAATGTCCTCAGTGCCACAGTCTCGGTCAATCTGATTGGCCAGATTAGACAGGTACAGCTGGAGGTCCTGAGGGAGAGAAGACCAAAGTGAGGCTTTACAACTGCTGGTCACACCAAACCAGTCAGTGTTTCCTGGGAAGTGTGATTTCTAGGCTTCACCTTGCAGGTTTGTTGGTGCATGTTGAAGGTGGTGAAAAGGCCAGGGCCGGGCTCACGGCCGCTCTTCTCCAGCAGGTACTCAGCCAGTCGGGTGGTGAGATAGGTCTTCCCCGTGCCGCTGGGGCCCGACAGGACCAGCCGTCGGTGCTTCAGAAGCAGACTTATGTAGTGTTGTATCATGGGCTTGGGGATGAGCGTCTCAAACACCAGACTGTCCACACACTTCTCCTTAAAACCTGGTATAGAGCGAGATTAGTTGAACCAGAGGTCAGTGACAAGTGCCATGGAGAACTGCACTTTTTGTCATATAGGAAGTCAGAGATTCTAACATTATAAGGCGAATGAAGCACAGCATCTGTTCTGATGCTTGTGATTTTTGCCAATTCGAACAGAATTTCACTTTCAGTGAGGACACCTCACATTGTACCTGTGTAGGACAAGTTGAAAGTGTAAGTTTTTCACCTTTGAGGGCGACAGTGACGAGTCCAGGGCCCTTTTTTAAACAGTCACAGGGTGAACTTTCTGGGGCTTCGGCTCCAAGCACCCTCCTGCTCTGATTAATACTGTAACTGTGGATAGAGTCGACAGACAGTCCCATACTCGCACTAGGATCCACCTGCGAAATATAGTCCTGATGTACGAATACAAAGAACACATTAGATTAATTAAGTATTATAATAAATACATTAATTTAAATCAGTCAGTCAATCAATCCATCCATCCATTCATCCATCCATCCATCCATCCATCCATCCATCCATCTATTATATAGTAAACACACATACACACACACATATATTTTAAATATCAATTGAAAAATATCAATTAAATAATTAAATATCAATTGGAAAAATATCAATTAAATAATTCAATATCAATTGAAAAATAGCAATTAAATAATTAAATATCAATTGAAAAATATCAATTAAATAAACAATTACATTTAAAACAATTTACAGTAAATATAAAATAATTTAAAAAAAATTTAAATCAAGAAAAAAAAGATTGACTTTTGATAATATTCCATGAGTCATTATCAAAATAACCTACTGACTTTTGATAATATGTCTGCTATTAAATATCATCAGTAATGACGGTATTATTGCATACTAAAACATTATTAGATTTTTTTCATACATCTTTTGCATACTACATTATGATTTTATGTCATGACCTTCCTTTTTTGCATATATTTAAACATTTTTAGCTGTCTTTACACCACAGAATGAGATCTCACCCTGAAAGCTGTGGAGATGTCCGTGTCTAACATAGACCATTCAGTTTTCCCACGAATCCTCACAGAGCCGATGTAGAAATCCTGCTGCCTCACCTGCTGATTGTACACCAGTTGGCTTATTTAGTGCATATGATCTAATGTTCATGTATGTAAAGCCATTTGCAATATGTTTTCACGTATTCACCTCTCTGGACACTTGCTGGTCAGCTATACGGACCACCACACGCGTAAAGACCTCATTCCTCTGAGATGACAGGCTCAGTAACTCCATAGGAGCAATGTCTGCTTGACAGAAATAATTATTTGACTCAATCCGCCAGTGACATTTCTAGATTAGTAATGGGAAGCAATGCTTGGAGCTAACTAGTTTTTATCATAGACTGTATAAAAACATGGACGTAGTGTCCGTGACGTCACCCGTAGGTTTCTGAAGAGCGTTTTTGAAGCTCAAAGTGGGCGGAGCCAGCCGTCGCCGTCTTAGCAGCGCGTCACTCCCGGATAATCGAAAATGGGCAAAAAGGCGGGAGAAGGTTGCTGAAACCACGCCCACCTAGCTCGACGGTGGTGACAGCAGCAGCAATCACCAGTGTTGGAGCACTCATTGAGGCTGAGGCTAAAGGACTTGGTGAGGCTCATGGGTGGTTTGGTTTGGTTGGAGTTCAGGAGGCTGGCCAGACCAGACGGCTGGGAGGTGGAAGTAGAAGGTGGGCTGCAAGGAAGGACAAGGGATGATGGAGCACTTCCTGTTTTCAGCTGATCGTTCTCTGCCTTCAGACTCTCCACCACACTCTACAATGAGAGAGTTTGATTAAAGTTTTGTTTTCAATGTAATGTTTGACATGCAAAGTCATGAACTGCAGTGAAGATATGCACGGTTTCACATATTTGTGAAATTTCACAGGCAAAACATATCCATTGTCTACTGTCAATAGTGTAGTGATGTATGCTCACACAGAAGTTACTTTCAAACCACTTAGCTTTGTGTTGGTCAATGCGACAAATTCACATGACCAACTTGAACCCATTGCAAAATCTGTGAAATCTGTCGCCCTTATGTGTAATTCCCAATCGCGTAGATTCCTATCGAAATGACTGGATTTTGCCCATGAAAATTCGCAGAGCAAAGGTAACACCAAAACATCACTAAACCAGTCACTGACCTGCATGTTGTTCATGGTCTCTTGTAGCTGCTCCAGCTGATGTGCTGAGCTCAGCGCTTCTAGCCGAATGTCCGTCAGTTTCATCTCTTTCTCCCACAGCTCAGACCGCAGCTCTGACACCATCTTCTCATCGCTCTCGTTTTCCTCGTTGCTTTCATGGATCCTGTTAGAACGCAATGTCATTACTGTTTAAAAAGTGCTAACACTTAAAAGCAGTCTAAAGGGTGTAATAGTCCAATTACTGCTGCATTTCAAAAGTGAAATTGCCCACTTTTGCCTGATTTTCGCCTGATATTGTGATTGGCACATGAAGACTTTACTCACACAGAGGAGGTGGCTGATTGGCTGGATGGGAGGGAAGTGGGCGGGTTCTCTCCATCTTCATGACCCAGTTTTGGTGAGTTGGGTGCAGAAGAGTCTGGAGTGGCGATCTCTTCAATATCAGAGTACATGGAGCCACCTTTAGCGCCCTTCTTAATGCTGAACGCCTTGCCAAAAGAACTTCGTAACTACAGAGAGATCGAGAGAAAGGCAGAGAACTTAAAACACACTGAAGTAATTCACAAATATAAGAATAAATGTTTATTCTGATTTTTTCACTCATTTAAAGTTTATTAACTTTCACTATTGTTTAAAAATTCAAATGTGAAATAAGTCTTATTTGATCAAAAATAAAATAAAAAGTAATTTGTGGAATATTATTACAATTTAAAATAACTGTTGCATGTGAATATATTTTAAAATGTAATTTATTCCTGTGATCAAAGCTGAATTTTCAGCATCATTTCTCCAGTCTTCAGTGTCAAATAATCCTTCAGAAGTCATTTTAATATGCTGATTTGCTGCACAAGAACCATTTCTTATGAGTATTAAAACAGTATTTCCGTGGAATACATTTTTTTTCAGGATTCTTTGATTAATAGAAAAAAAAATATTTTGTAAAATTATTAATGTCTTTACTGACACTTTTGATCAATTTATTGCTGAAATGCTGAATAAAAGCATTAATTCATTTATATACTGTATATATTTATGTGAAAATGTTATCAGCTTCTTAGAGTATAATCATAATCATATTGTATGGAGATGCAAAATCTAAGGTTCATTTTACATTCTGCAAACCTCCCTAGTTTATCAAGTGTTGAATTCAATGAAGATACTTCAAGCACAAAAGGACAGACACTTAAACAACAGCACAAGAGAAAAGGACAGATGTTTTTCAACAAGTGCACTTGAAACACTCAGGTGTTGGTGTGGATAGTTATATGTGATGCAATCATTCCTAGAAATGAGCTTACAGCCTTGAACCACAAAAAATAAAACACAGGTAAAATACCAAAGAGCTATAACAAATTATTTCAACATGCAAAGTGCTCTGTCTCTACTATACATGCCAGAGTTAGTGTGAGTGTTCAGATGCAGCTTCATTCTTTTATGTGTGACAGATTTAATAACTGCTTTTCTTCTTCTTCCGTCATAGCCATATGACACATTCACAGTGTTACCACATGTTTATAGTATTAATAAAATAGCATTCTAGAGGGAATTCATTAAGAATGAATGGAGCCTAGTGATAGAGCTGGTCACTTGCACCACTTTATAAGTTGCTGATATACCTGATGCACTGAAGTAATTAATGCAATTCAGGTCATAGCACAATTGCAAAATCATGTGGGTCCCCATTTTGTCAGTTCTTAGCAGCTGGTGCTAACTAGAGGTTGACCAATATGGATTCTGCATGGCTGATAGTGTATATCTTGTAAAGTAGGGTGGCTGATGTCCGATATAGGCCAATATTATATTGAATTCAAATATGGTAATGATATCGCATTTAATAAAATATCGTAAATATTACATGCATAACCAATTTTTGCAAAGAGATTTATATTTGTTGTACAATATATTTATTAAAATTAGAGATAAATCATTTGAAAAAATAGATAAATCTGTAAAATTAACAAATTTATATTTTAAATAGCATCTTAAAGGGATAGTTCAGCCAAAAATGAAAATTCTGTTTGGAACGACATGAGGGTAATTAATAGGGCTGCACGATAAATCGCATGCGATATTTAACGCGCATCTTGTCAGAAAAGTCGGTTCTGTAATCAGCGGTAAATCTCCAGAAGTTGTTCACTGACGAGCTACGCCAAACCACGTTCATATTCGCGCGATTTTTTGCGCAGCTCGTCAGTGAACAACGGCTCTGTGTAGTTAATGCTGCTCAATGTGAAAGCCCGCAGGTGATGGAGATTTACCGCTGATTACAGAACCGGCTTTCTGACAAGATGCGCGTTAAATATCGCATGCGATTTATCGTGCAGCCCTATTAATTACCCTCATGTCGTTCCAAACAGAATTTTCATTTTTGGGTGAACTATCCCTTTAATGTTATTATAGTATTTTTCACAGATAAAGAAGTGAAAAAAGTAAACACTGTGAATAACTACATTCAGTAATCTGGTAAGTCTGTGTGAACTGGGAATCACATTTTCTCAGTTCACATACAGTACACAGTGAATATAATATGAATATGACATGAATTTGTTGTAGTGGCAAACTGGATATAAAGCATTAGACATGTTTGATTTTCAATTATTAGAGAGAACAACGACACTAAGCCAATAAAGATGGAGAAAGGCAACTTCTATCTCTGCACTCGCTTGGATTTCAGTGCTGTCAAAATAAAAGTCCTGCTTTCAACACTCATTGACCAAACAGAAAAAACATAATGGCTGATGCCAGTAGCTAAAAATGACAAATTTCTGCATTGGCGATTTATTGGTCGACCACTTGTGCTATCTGCTCAGTAAATTCACCTCATAACATTTGTAACATATAGTATTTTACACATATGAAAGTATAAGCGGCAGTGACTGTTAGAGCAGCTGCACCGATGATAACCTTTATAGAGCGGTTAGAAACAACAGATGAGGAACATTTCCTCAGAGAGACATATAAACTTACCTCATAGACCTTATAGATTTACAAAGAATATGTGAAAACTGTGGTTATGCACGAGCAGATAATAATAGTCACTATAATTCCATCTTAGGCTCTTTCTTCCGCTTACCCAGCTCTTTTTCTTCTTCTTCTTGGCGTCGTCTTTCAAGCTGCCCACACTGGAGTGACTGGTAATGCTGTTCAGACTAGAGATGCTCTCGGATGAGTTCTGCCTCCTGATTCGCAACTCTGAGAGAAGAAATAAAGAACGTTTGTTTGCTAACATTCATTGGATATTGAGCTAAAACTCAATTTGAGGTGCATGTTTGCTGTCTTCACCTTTGGGGGCAACATCTGGGTTACTGAGTGCGACTTGGATAACGGCCTGCGCCTCCATGTTCTTGGTCTTTAGGCTCTCGATTGTTTCTCTAAGGTCCAGTAATTCACTGTCCTATAGAGAAAAAACACAGATGTATTTAGTCTGTGCTCATCCATTTAAAGCATAAACATTGAAACAGCATTCCCCAAAGCGCAGCTACTGACGGTTTTCCAAACAAATGTAGGTTCACTTCTGCTTTCCGCAATGATTTACTGCCTGCACTTGACCAATGACATTTACGGCAGACAAAGCCACAGGGACGTCTACAAAAGCTCCTCCAGCTGTGCATCACTGGTATCTCAACATCATGTGCTTTCTCTAAATCACTGAAATGATCTGTAGGGTCACAGCCACTGAAACGAATGCATGAATCCGTGTCGCTGCCTCGCAGCGTAAGCTCTCTAGACCGGCTGCCTCTTTCACAGAGGGCAATGTGGCATGAAAGTCAGCGTTGCACTTCTAAACCCTCCTGCATGTGCGTTAATTTAGCCAAAGGCAAATCATGAACTCAAAATTTTGGAGTATTGCACAGATAAACACAGTGACCCCTTGACAGTAAATTAAAGCCAGCAACCCCCAAAATCCATTCAGTCATAATTTGACCCAAATTTGCTCTTTGGCTCTCTGTGACTCTGTGAGGTTACATGTATTGATCTAAATATGGGCGGTAAAAGGACAGTTAAGGGGTAATATGTTTCAAACACATGGCTTTTTTGTTTTTAAAACATGGTACTACAATGAAAGAAATGGTGTAGAATTCACTTTGAAACAATTTTGACTCAGAAATTACTAGAATATTTTTTTTTAAATTACAAAGAAATGTCAAGTAATGGGAAATTAAAGATAAAATGTTGTAGTAGAAAGACAGAAATAAATATTTTCTTGTAAAACATTTTCTAATAAATTTGGTCAAGGATCCTGCTTCATCACGATATGAAAAGCTAATGCTGTAACTGTTACCAATAAGCTATAAATGGTGTAACTTTATACCCATAAATGGTGGAACTGAGATGATTGCAGGAGTTTTTGTTTGTTTTAAGGATGAATATCATACCTTCTGATCAGAGCTGACAGAGAGGGTCTGGAGTCGAGAGGTCATGAGGGCCAGACTCTGCTCAAATGCTGCCACCAGGTTGGCCTATAGATAAACAAAAAGAATCCACTGAATTGCATTACATATGATCATCATATAATTAAAGTAATATTAAATAAAGAATGAATGTTTAAAAAAACTAATAATAATAATCAAAAAAATAATACACACTACCGTTCAAAAGTTAGGGTTCTGTAAGATTATTTTAAGTTTCTAAAAAAAGTCTCTTATGCTTACTAAGTCTGCATTTATTTTATAAAAGTAAAGCTGATATTGTGAAATATTATTGCAATTTAAAATAACTGCTTTCTATTTGAATGTATTGTAAAATGTAATTTATTTCTGTGATCCAAAGCTGGATTTTCAGCATCATTACTCCAGTCTACAGTGTCACGTGATCCTTCAGAAATCATAATAATATGCTGATTTGCTGCACAAGAAACATTCATGATTATTGTCAATGATTTTTTCATTATTCTTTTATGAATAGACTGAATAGAATAACTGAATAGTGTACTGTACATACAAAATAGTATGTTCGTTCCTATGTGACAGTGTACACTTACATTAGCAGACAGCTGTGAGGTCAGATTGGCCACCTTCTCCTGTGAAGACTCCAGCTCCCTCCTCAGCTTACGGATTTGCTGTGAAGAACCGCACAAAGTTATTAACCAACATACAATTCAATGCATAAATCTGCATCAAAAATGTAAAGGAATAGTTCACCCAAAAATGAGAATTCGGTCATCACTACTCTTCCTCATGTTGTTCCAGACCTGTATGACTGAGGACTGTCAAGCTCCAAAAATGACAAAACAGCAAAGTAAAAATATCATGAAAGTACTCCATACTTTTGAAGTACTCTGAAGTCCTATGATAGCTTTACATGAGAAAAGGTCATTAACTGACTGACAATGTTCTCCAATAAAGCTCTCACAACTCATTTGTGCAGTTCATATGAGCTACTTTTATATTGTCATTTCTGAGCTTGCCATTGAATTCCACTGAATAAAAAAAAAGCAGAACACAGCAGAAAAAAAAAAAAAAAAAAATTCTGCTGATCATCTGCTTTTGTGTTCCAGGGAAGAAAGCAAATCATATAGGATTGACGTTATGGGATATTCATAGCCATTCCAGGAGTAAATGATGACAATTTTCATTTTTGGTGAACTATTCCTCTAAAATCAGATTATTTACTTTGACATAAATCTCTAAATTGTTTTTCCTAATTGACAGTGTTACAGTCAGACTGAACTGCTGAAGCTCACTGCAGCTGCTGGAAAACTGTGACAGATGATATTTAGCACTCCCAATAGCAACTGTGTCTGTTTATATGATCTCTATTTGGAACAGGCTGATAAACTCTATACATGCAACTGAAGACAACAGAAAGACGAATGGAGAGTATATTCACATACTATGAGGCGCAGCAGACCAGAACAACACACACAATGAGTAAAATCAGGCTCACTTCAAGCCTTCAGGCTTGGAATGCAAAACTTCACCAAGTACACTTTTTGTCCATCTCTCTAAGAGAGTTTTCGAAGTAACTTGGTGAGACACCTTCATTTTGCATCCATAGATCAAGTAGACGCATCACGAAAGAGTGAAGGCCTTTTCCCATCAGGATATGAAACAATAGCTCCACAACGATACTATACACAAACTAGTCTAACTAATGCAATGTGCCAAGTCTAAAAGACCATAATGCAGTCTAAAAGTCTAAAAGATCATATTTTTTCTTTTTCTTAATAATTTCTTCTTTTTTTTTTTCATTTGAAAGGATTATTATTATTTTTTTAATTGTTTGTATACAATTTTTTTTTTTAATTAGATATTATTAGATATTATTTTGATTATATTTATATAGTATATAGTATATATACTATATACTATATATAGTATATATAGTTATTATTGTTAACATTAATTAAAGATAATTTACTATAGATACAGAGTATAGATATAAATGCTTTATATAAATGACATTATACTTTATAAATATATTTAAACTCAGCAATTCAATAAATGTATATATTAATTTATATTTTCTTATTTGTTTGGATGCTGAAGATTTTTTTTATTTTAATTTATATTCAAAGTTTCATATAAAATGACAAACTTAGCAATTACAATTTTAATCCAGCAATTAAATATATTTTTTTATTCTGAATCAAGGTCATTTTCTTAACTGTTTGGATGCTGAAAATGTGTTTATTAGTTTTATTAATATAAATGAAAGATATCCAAGTTTCATATAAAATGACAAAAATGTGGCAATTTATTGCAATTTACAATTTAATTCACCAACTAAATTATTCTGAAGCAAGGTAATTTTCTTAATTGTTTATGCTCAATAAAATGTTTGGCCTTTATTTAGATATCAAGTATTTTTCATAAAAATAAAAATAAAATCAATGTCAGTACAAATATTTTGAATGTGACAATTACTTTTATTTTTAATTATATAATATTTCATTTTTATTCTATTTTTATTATTTGGTGTTTGTTTTATCCCATCTGATGTGAATAGGCCTTCACATTATAGTTATGAAACACAGAACATGGAGGCAACTATAAATACCAACATGTAGCAAGTGGTTAGCTACTGATTTCCTTCAGTCCAGAGACATGTCGGTCATGATTGAATGAAACACAGCAGAGGAATCTCATAACAGCCTTCTGGACAGCTAATGACAGTTAAAGGCTTTGAATCAATGTGTTAGTTCGTTAGCTCCTAACATTAGCTGACTTCAGCTGTTATGATCTCTGAGAACACGTATGACAAAAAGAGGTTATTAATATGACTGTCATTAATTTCTGAATGACAGAGAGGGAAAATCAGAGATGAGAGACAGACACTCACCTCGCCCTGCATTCTCTCCTCCGCCTGAGAGAAGCACGGAAGAAAAGAACGACAGATAGACAGTAAGATACTAAAGAAATGGTTGTTTATAGTGAATACAAATGAAAAAAGGTCTAAAACAGGGCTGCACGATTTGGTTGATTTTTTATTTATTTATTTTTTGACAAATATTGTGCTTTTGAACTGCAGCATAATAAAGAGTTAATATATAATCTAAGATGTCAAAGCTAAATAAATAAACATAAGTGTGTTTACACTTGTTCTCTGTAAAGGAACCAAATTGAATTTGCTTTCAGCTTACCTAAAATTATGTGGCGGGAAAAAAAAATCACATTATACACATTAATATATATATTATATATATATAGGGATGGGAAGATTCCCCGATTCGCACGGTGCATCGGCATAAAAAGTTAACGATACGATGCATTGGTTTAAATAATGTGTATCGGCTAAAAGTTGTCATTTATATTGCAATGCATCATTTCTAAAATGTTTGCATCAGTAACAACCGATTTATTTATATTTATAAAACGGATAGTTCCGGTCCTTGATTCTGATTGTGAAGCCGTGGTCCACTTCGCGTCGTGCCTAACAACGCACCTTAGCTGTTATAAATTCACTGTAAACCACGGCTTCTTGGGGCTTATCGCTTTAATAACTACTAGTGGATGCGCTATACTTTTATTATTTAGAAAGTGACCAATAATTTTATATGTAGATTGACTTCTCCTCTCTAAACTGTTTCTCAAGCACGTTCTCTCATCACTGCTGCGCGTGAATATGATGTATCACAACACCACGACGGAGACCTGAGGAAAAGCGGGGATTAAAGTCCAAAACCTGACTTGAAATAACCTAA